GCTTGAAAATGTTTGAAGATTAGGGAGAATATGGATTACTGGGAGGACTGGAACAGGATAATACTGAAAGTAGTACATAAACCAAAGTCACTCTTGGTGAATCATTGATTCAGTGATCTAACAGATGTGTCCCTTCTGATTTTTGCGAATTCGCATTGAGTTGCCGTTCATCGCTAATAAGACCCATAAGAAATAACTGTTTTTCACTGGTCACAATTTCTAGTCTTGTGAAGACACAACAAGTTCAAAAAGTTCGAATGTGCAAGTTTTAACAGAATTTTCAGTGATAGCACATTCAAGGTCATTGCAATTTTGATATAAGGAATGACCCATTAAGCACTATCAAACGCTTCTTAACTGGGCAATTTGTTTCCATTTCCGATTGCCAACTCATCAACTTCAAATATCGTCTTCAAGTTCGACTTTGTGATCAGTTCCCTTTCCAGCTTGATTAGGATAACTATATTTCAAAACTGCTCGAAAACAAGTTTCAGAAAAGAATCACTTAATAAATTTGACAAAAAGTATGAAAGCCTGAGACCAAACGCGTAGATAAATGAAACTTTAACATAGCGTCCTTCCTCAAAAAAGTAAAGTGTTTCTGAATGAATGTTGCAGTGGATTAGGAATGATAAGTAATGATGCGGGCGAAAATCAGATGAATTATTTGTTCAGTATCATGGGTTATTAGTGTTGTGGTCATCGTGTGAAACTGAAATGACGGAAGAGAGTGAATAAAGAAAAAAAAAGGATTGGAAAATCTCCATGAACCAGTTTCCTATTCGATCATCTCATAATTTCCTTTATAAATAACATTTAGAAAGGAACGATTAAATTTTTTAGAAATAACACACTGATGAAATATTATTCGGTTATTTGCACTTCTCAACAAAATGTTTGTAGCAATGAATGCCACCGCAAACTTTTGCCATCTGCTACGGTATACTTCATTAACTTCACTTCTTTAATTGATATTGCATGCAAATGAAGGGTAAAATCTTCAAAAACAGTGCAATAAACGGAATCCACGAGCATTTTGCTTGGCTATAAAACATTCTAATTGCAAAAGCATCCGGAAATGGCAATCAATTTGAAGTTACGTTCATGAGATATTTTATCAGCACAGTCTAAGGAAATATGATCTTTTTTTTTCTTGTTCTTTTTCAGCCTAATCGATATAATTCTATATGCACAACAATTTGTATATTTCTTAATTAAACGAAATCAAATCAATCGTTCGTTGTATACAATCATCGAAAATACATTTTGAAAATATTTGGCAATATAGCAGTGAGAACGCTCTACATAGCATTTCTCACCTTTCTATCTCTTCTGTCTTTTTCTGCTCTAATTCATATTCAGTTTACCTGACATGTTAAATCAGTGATATATAAATGGAAAAATGAGGTGAGATAAATTTGGTTTATTTATCGAGATGT